ACAACTTTCATTATTATTCTGATACGAATCCGCGCGCATACAGGGTCATGAAAAATTAAAATAGGTGGTCAGTTAATGTGTGGGGTGGAATACTGGACCAATATTTAAGTGGACCCAATTTTTTTGAAGGACATCTGAATGGTTTGATGTTTCTCCAGTTTGTAATAAAACATCTCTCAATATTATTAGAAGAAGTCCCTTTCAATATTAGAATCAACATATGGCTTCAATTGGATGGAGCTCCGCCTCATTATCACTGCGAAGTTCGGCAATTTTTAAATGCCAACTTTCAAAACAGGTGGATTGGCAGAAATGGGTTTCAAAATTGGCCCCCCAGATCTCCGGGCTTAACTCCACTAGATTTCTTTTTGTGGGGGTACATAATAGGAATTGTCTACCATACGCTTGCGACTACTTCACACGATATGAAAACACGCATTTTGAAAAAAGAATGTACAAATGCCTGGAAATGAGCGGTCAACATTTCGAACATTTGTTATAAATAATTCGCCTTTGTTTTATGTTATTTAACATTTTACATTAAAAAAAACACCAAAAATTGATAATGAAAAATTTGATAAAATTCGAATTATTTTAAAAACCTTTAGATTTAGACATTATAAGTCTTAGTAAAACAAAATACTTATTTTGCTCAGATAATCCAAAAATGCAATAATATATAGGGTATTTCGTTTAGAAAAATACAACTTTGATACTTTTAGGGCTTTTGGGACACTCTGTACATTACAAAAATATTTTTAAAATGTGCACCCGATAGGCGTCTGTGAATTCATCAAATAATACTTTGCAAAAAACAAACGGGCTAGCCGCAAACGTCCGTGCCGTATAGCGTGAATAACCCTAACCTTAATAATAATCTTGAAAATAAAAATAAGAATATATAATATATCTTGAAAACGTAATTGAAATCTTCGGTTGGGGTCAGAACCAAGAATCATATAAACCGAGGGCTCATACCAACCTAAATGTCATCTACGATACCGATGAAAATTTGACGTAATTTGACGTCAGTTTGTACTGGGTTCAGGGTAGGAAAAATACGTCTCTGAAAGTTACTTGCGTGAAAAATGGTCAGTTGAAAGTAAATTATTTAAGGAATTAACGATCAAATTGAAGGAGACAAGATGTGAACAATCATTAAGGCTTTTGGTCTTTTTGCTCGCCCTGCGATATTATATGCATCCTAAACGCATCGTTTCCGAGAAACACAGCAGTGATTTTTTTGAATCAGTTTTGAGGCTTTCATCCCATTGCAGTGAAATTCGGAATATAAACATTTCTATGCACCTCCTTAGGTCTTAACGTCCTGTCCCGAATTTCATTAAATATACGAACATTTTATGTCCCAATTATGTCATGTATTATTAACAGAGTTAAACCTGAATCACCCTGTATACCAATTTGGCTCGAAAACACCGTAAATTGAACACCGATCAAAGTTTCATTCAGTGGTCATGCGGACTTGCTTGTACCTGAACGCAATTTCAGCTCCAGAAGACCGTTCTGCATGCTCAGACATATAAAACTTGCCTCCTTCCGGCCCATAAAGAGAACCAGGCCGTTGTCATGCAACGCCCTAATCTCCATTTCGATGTTAAACTTTGTACTGTCCAAGTCCAATGGATGGGTGGCCAAAAACGATCTGGTACCCGTGAAACTCACATCGCTTATATTTTCCGCTGAAAACACAATTAAAAATGTTGGTGTTTGACACTTTTGAGCACCAATTTACCTTTTTCACAGTACCGCCCCACTAGCCCCAACGGACAGTCGCACTCATACCCGATTAGTAAAGGGACGCACTGAGAAGGATGTGAACACTTTGTAACATTGGAATCGCAGGAGTTGGCTCTGGAAGAGCATAAAGGACCATGCCATTTGTCCTGGCACAAGCACCTGAAAGCAGTCAAGTGCATAGATTTGAAGAGAATTTGGCTCCCGAAATGCTTTGTTACATGAAAGTACTGCCATGATGCAGGCAAGCGCCGTTATTCTGGCAACTTCGTTCGTAACACTCGGTGGTACCGCATTGACCAACGGCCCTTCCAAGAGCACCGCCTTGTAAAGGTAGCACTATGCTGCCTATTTTCACCTCAACATCGAAAATGCAACCAGAGAATCCCGAGTGCAAGGGAAGATCATGAGGCAGGGTAGAAAAGTTCAACGCATCATGTCCACCTGCAAGTTGACCCTTTCGGTTATACTAGAACTAAAACAGAATCTGTAAGGTGATTAATAAGGAAACATTTTGGTGATTGCAGGTGAAACGACGGACCTTCTTAGATAAGAATCTGCGGGTCTGAAAAGAACCGTTTTGAAATGTGAACAAATCGCAACAGGTGTTAACTCCAAACGTGTGTCTTCCCCTGTAATCATTTTGTTGTGCACTTTTCGCATCATTACTGGGAGCACACTTTGAGCAGCTCTCGTATTCGGTTAATCAACTCGTGCAATTTGTACGGGTGTTCAGTAGACCACACACAGGTTTAATGTGTCCTTGTGTCCTCTGTATCTTAAATTCATGGTAGGGTTTTAGCCCTTCCTCGGTAAAGTCTCAATTGTTGTGCAATGTTTCGAGAACCCCTGGGAGGCTCTGCTGCAATTATCTCCCATGTCTGAAACCCCAAGACCTCTTGATCATCCACTATCTGCCTCAACTCCTAGAGCCAATCGTCCAGTGTCTCCAGTTTTTTTTGCTATCTTAACCATTTTGGTGGATTAACCGTCCAGAAAATAATAAAACGATCATACTGAGTTGTTCAAGAACGCCTTTCTGTAASGATTCGACAGTTACGCGAGATATAAACAAGAATTTCTACAATATTCATGTGTGATCAAATTAAAATCMTTCTGTTATCTGAGAGACTGATTTCTAGAGAAGCTTGTACGCAAAMGTTTAGCTTRAACCRCATTTCYTTGACGGAAATTTGTATAGTGAGATATCCAGAGAATTTTTAGAGGTGACKTTTTCCTCTACTGTGACTAATGYTCTCAATTAACATTCCTCTTGAGATCAGAAGTCGATGTTGTTTTTAAATGATGGTTYGCCGGCTCATTTTGGGARGGTTCKTGCKAMYTTTCGCTWTAAAATTTTTKTAAATTGATGGATTGGTCGTGGTGATGTTCCTTGGCCACCGCGAATTCCTGACCGCAACCCGTCGACYTTYTTTATCAATGGACCAAGTYATCGGAAGTCAATCGMGCAGCGTGTGATGAGGTGAAAACGATATGGAAGACATAGCRWCGAGAGCTTATTTAAAAAAAATGATATGCTTCWAAACTTCTTTTTCTTCTTCCTTGAAATCTTAGARATCATTCATAATATGAAGCTTAAAAATGRTGRTATTGAGAGAATTAACACCAAAACTCTAAAAACAATGTCTTGGTACATCACTGATCCTTTGAAATTTATTTTTAACCTTTGTTTGGAGAACTCGATTTGGCCCAATGCATTAAAAAAAGCTGAAGTGATTCCTAAAGTTATATATAMAARGTYATATAAATTMCTGTTCAATAACRGTATTCTAKYCAGAAATCAATATGGTTTCGTAAAAGATAAAGGTACGAACGWAAKKTATTTAACTAGAAAATTGYATGATAATCTCGATAAAAGCAAACCTGTTGCTGTTGCTTTCATTGATCTTGYGAGGGCTTTTGATACAGTAGATCACAGTATCCTGCTGATGAAATTGTATCAGTATCGTATAAGGGGTCATGCACATAAGCTTATGGCTGATTACTTGAGAGATAGAAAGCAACAGGTTAGACTGGATGATATGATCAGYGATTTTGAAACAATCAATACAGGAGTCCCACAAGGGACAATATTGGGACCTCTACTATTTATAATATATGTAAATGACTTGCTAACAGAGATGGCTAAAAATGTTATATCCTATGCGGATGATACAGCTATTATAGCACATGATGAGTCTTGGAGTAAAGTGGAGAGTAATATGAATATTTGGATAAGGTTTCAACTTGGTTGGCTTTAAATAGGTTGCTGCTAAACATAAGTAAAACAGTTTATATAACATTTCGAAACCATTACGATAGTATTCCAAAGGATATGAATATTCAAATAAACAATAGTAGAATAAGTAGGGTTAAATCTTGTAAGTATTTGGGTATAAATTTTGATTACAACTTAAGGTGGGATGTACATAAAGATTATATTTTAAAAAATACTAAATATTTGCAATATATACTGTATAAAATGTCAAAGTATGTACAAGTAGAAATGCTTGAAATGTACTATACGCTGTTCCATAGTATTCTCAGCAATGGTAATATTGCGTGGGGCGGTGCCTATGATAACAGACTTTTGTTGCTACAAAAACGCCAGAACTGAGTTCTGAAAATTATTAATAACAATACTTTCGATAAAGAAAGACTTTTGCATATGAATGCCTTATCCTATCATCATGAGCATCTCTCTGACATGTACTGCAATTCATCTAGAAAGACTAGAAACAAGAGTATTCAACTACCAAAGTCAGTCAAAACTGTCAGTGTAAAAAATAATTATTGTAAGTAAAATTATTGTAAAGTAAAAAATAATTATTGTTAGAATGTTTAATGAGCTTAGTAATGATCTCAAAGTAATAGATGTGAGCAAAAAGTCTAGTAAAAAGAAGTCAAAGATTTGGATAAGAACTATGTATTAGTATGATTCCGACATGCTGGGTGCCTGTCTATCTTCTGTTGTGTCTGTTATTTTTGGTTTTCTTTTTAAGTTTTTTATATATACAGGGTGATTCAAAATTGGCGTCATTCCTCTGGAGGTGTTGTCTAGCGCTGTTACAGGAGTACAGAAACAATAGTGAAAGAAATTAATTGTTATTAAAAACTGAGAAATTTTCAAAAAACTATATCAAAATACGGCAGCAATGTTTTCCAAGGTAATCTGCTTAATTAACATTGCTCAAATACCTGTTGCTTCGAAATTATTTAAAACTCCGGTAACCATGGAATTATACAGACTGACAATAAGATAGGCAAGGATAAACGGTAAATTCAACAAGAGTTGTTGACTAAGCAATGTACTTTCAAAATGTCAACCTGTTCTAATAACCTCGAATATTGGCGTTTAAAAATAAACCATACAACACCAAACATTTGCACAAAATATCCCACTATGTATGTTCTGTGAACATTTGAATGGTTAACTCCAAACAAGCTAGTGCCTGTGTAATCTCCTTATTATCCACTCTTATCAAGCAGCTTCTCGTATTCAGTTAATTAA